CATTATATCTTGTTAAGTTTTATTTTATTTATTTATTTATTATTTTGACAGGACCCCAAGGACAACAGTGTTACACACTGATGGGTTTTCAATCCTGTATAAAAATTCGTTATTATTATTATTATTATTATTATCAGTAGTTCGGTTTGTTCTGTCTTCTGAACTATGGTTTCACTGTTGAATAATGGGCCGATATGGTAAGAATAAAGGGGATAAATTTCAAAAGAAACTGGTGCTGCGTGTGTGTGCATGGCTACGGTCACAAAGAGGTCTCCCATAGAGGGAGTATGTTGTGGCACAGATGGAGGGCTAACGCTTGATACGTCAACTTTAGAAACTCCTTACGGTGGCCAATACACAAATTATGCCAGTTCATTAAAACCAAATTATCTTGGAATACCCTCTAACGAGTCAACGGTAACCTGATATCTACAATCAAATTTGCAAAACACTTTGAACGATTTTATTTTTTATTTACACGTTTGAGATGTTTTATTACTATAACTGGATCAAACGATCAAAGGGCGTTTTGAATGCCTTAGATTTTGTTCCTTTGCGAGTAATAGTGAAGACACTGAAAATGTAAATGTCAATATTCCTCAAAGGATTAAAATACTTCAGAGAACACGTTTTCCATTGGCGATTGTAATTAGGTCTCTGTCACACAGTTCTTTTGCTGTTCGAATATTTCGAACAGCTTGAAAGTTCATAATTTTCGATTCTGTCTGCTTATTTGTTCCATATGAACATGAGAAACCATAGCCTTAATCAATAATCATAAAGTCAATCGAAATTGTCTTAATCCGCTGACCCCTAAGAGTGACCAGCAACTACTTTCTCCTTACAATATCACTTCTGAATCACACTTTAAGGTCAGGAGAATAAAAGAAATGATCACTAACTAAGGAGGCTTCGTTAGTCAAATTCTCCTTGTCCGCATCTTAGAAAATGTATAGAAAACATTGGGGAGAATATAACCATACGGAGTTGGGGTGTGAACTGTCAATGTAATATTTACAAATGCACACAAAACGCCAAGTTTGGGGGGGGGGGGTTAAAAGTTAGTTCAGCTGTTATGATTAGAGATATCTGCCTGTCCTATAAGAATCTAGAGGTATTCTTTACTTAACGTTGCTTTTTATCAACTGGCAATGGTATTCCGAAAACCATCCGAAAACAGAGGCTCTGAAAATAGCAGACATAATTCATCACTCCTTGCACTTATCTGCAAAATCGGATTACTAAGCAAACTTCGTTTCACGTACGATTGATTACAATGTTCAACTTAATGGCATCTAGCTCAGTTAGGATACTTCTTTCCATTGAGATTTCGAACAAACTTGTAAGTCAGTCTCTGACCAGGCACCTTTTTGAGGATGTTTTTGCTGTAGTAGTATCTGAGAGCACGACTAAGTTTCTCGTATGTCATATTTTTTCTGTTCTTCTGTTTTCCCCAGAGGCGGGCCAAGCCATTGTGGTCAAGAAGACGAAACACTCCTTTGGTTTGATTTTTCCATGCAATATACTTATTCTGTTTTTCCAGCAAAATCTGATGAAGGAACTCCCACAGGTATTGGCAGTGAATGTGCGGAAGATCTACAAGAAACATGATCAAGGACATAAGTTCAGAGGTGTTTCAAGGCAAAAATCATTTTATGTCATACACACTAAGATTTACACTGTGGTTTGCTTCCAATATTTGACTTTGTTGGTTGGTAAGAAAAAGTACGTAAAGTAAAAACGTCCTACCGTGGAATTAGTGCTTGGACGATTTTTATTCACTTGTTAATAACTATATTTGCGATGCATCAAAAAACTCGCTTGCTGTGCTCACTCATTTATTTTGGTTTTTTCTTTTTCCTTTTTTTAAGGCATTGTAACTTGTGAATAAAAATTGTTTGTGCAAACTTTTCATGAAATAATCTCTTTTCCCCACCCACATGGATTACCTCTAAAGAATTACATGCCAACAAAAAATATCGAATACATTGACCTCAAAAATTTGATGGTAGGCACATTTTGTTCAATTAAAATAATGCATTCATTCATACCAAAACAACATCACGTTTCATAATATTATAAAAAATTGGAATAGGTCATAATCAGGAGCAAATTCTTACAAAAAGTTGGCAAGAAATTTCAACTGAATAATTTGTTTAATTCTAAAGAAAGTCACAGTTTTAGTCAGATGGATACTGAAACTACAGCCATAATTGTTGATCGACAAATATCACTGAGTTGCTGAACTACAAACTATTAAGAATTCTTTTTGTTGACAACATGCCACTGATTTAATCACATTTGAATTCTCACCATCTTCGTTTTCATCATCTTTATCATCGCCTTCTTCCTTAACATCCTCAACATCTTTCTCCTCTGTTACTCTCTTCATCTTGTCCTTTGCTTTTGTGTCCTCTGATAGAATTAATCCAAAGGAAAGAAACTTTATTTTCACTTCACAAAAATGGAGTAAAATTTGGGTGATTAACAAAATTAGTTATAGAAAGAGAACAAAAAAATATAGGGAGTGTTCTTCTATGACCCTAACTCCTAGCACTGAAAACAGACTCTGGATTGCGAGTTTTAATGCATGCTGGGATTGTGATCTTACATGATATCATCCCTCAACTATCACTGTGGCAGTACCTAGTGCACAAGAAGATTGTCATAAAAATATCATGAAAGAATGCTAGAGAGTCTTCTTTGGTGTGGCGGTTAATTAAATAACAATACATTCATACTCTGACTAAGGTACTCATACATTTATAAGCCTCAGTTAAAAAAAAAAAAACAGCAACAACCACAACAACAAACAGCTTTCAACCTTTAAACTAGAGAGTGTACAAATATGGTAAAAGAACACTTCTTGAAAAATAAGACTTACTGTTTACTGGCTTTATTGCACTTGACTGCTCATTCTGACTGTCGTTTGGCTTTGATTCATCAGTGGATTTCTTGTCTTCACAAGTCTTTCCTTCCTCTTTTTTCCCATCCTTGTCTTCTGCTCCATCTATCAAGAGTGAATGTTGAAATTAAAACCAAACACTTTTCATTTTACTGTAAAGAATGGCCAGCATGTTACTTCTTCTTAAAGCTAATACGACTGAATTATTCATTGAGATCATGAAAACAAAAGAAATCATCACCAACCTAAGAAGTTTTTGATTATGACACAATTCTCCTTTTCAGTGCCAAAGGAGAGGTATAGAGAAGAGTAAGGAGAACATGGATACTGATGCTAGTGTGTAAAGGGTTTACCAAATTATATATAATTATTACCATGAGGTTCATCCATCTCAGCCTCAATTCCCGAATCAAATCCAAAGTCAATATCAGCTGAATCACAGAGCAATGGTGAGTCAGGACTCAGCGGCAGATCTGTTATAAGAAATCATGAATTTAAAACATTAGCAACGGGAAAAAGAAACCTGAAAGTTTGACCTGTTTGAGTGGTGATCCTATCACTCAATCTGGAAATTTCCATTTCCCCATAGCCTTCACACTTCTATTTTCCCATACCAGTGACAAAATTCAACCATTAGTTTCAATTCATTCAAAGATTGAATTTCTTCCCTAAATACTGACCATTATCTAAGAAAACACTGTAGTATTAACCTTGGAAAAAGTTGATTTCATCATCTGATAGGTCAGATCCACCATATCCATATTCTGAACAAGCGTCAAGGTCTGTAAATTTCAGATCTGCAACAGCTATAATTATCACAAACTGATTAATTACTAATGCAATGCATAAGTAAAATCAACATACTTTTAGACAGTCATATCATACCAAGCAGTTTTAGGTATATCATTCAGGTATATCACTCAGGTATTAGGCATATCATTCAATAATTTTGGAAAGCAATTGTGTATAATTTGATTAGGATTCAGTAAACTGATTATTCAGTCACAGACACAATTCTATTCCATTGAGCATCAGGGACTGAAACATCCAGAGAAACCATGAATTGCTTACAAAATTTTAGAAACAAATCTGACGGGAAGGGTCAGAATTTGAATGCAGAAAAAAACAGGGATAAACATGGTTTACCTCCATCATTCATACAATCATCAGAGGTCTCAACATCCACAACTGCATCAAATTGCGTGTCTTCAAATGGTCCAGGACACAAGTCTACATGTTGGGGCGCTGTCACCAAAGACAGAAATTAAGAAAAATCTGTATTACTTCTTAGAAAATTTTTTTTCTCTTGGAAAGCACAAAAATATCATGAGACCCATGCTCTAATCATAAGGCCTTCATTATTTCTCTTTGACACAAAACATGCTATAAAATTGTGCTGTGAGTAACTCATACACACCTTCAATAGGGAAGCCGCTTGAATGCAACAGATCTTGAATGGCTTCAATTGTGATTGTAGAAGCTATAATTGGTCCTCCGGTTGTTGATGGGTGACCATATGATGACAGCCACTTTTTTAACATTGACACAGCAAGTTCCCCATTCTGTATATATCAAATTGGAAAGTGACATTTTATAAATAGCATAACTGATTTATTGTTATGACCTTTAACATATTTACCTCTGAGTACTAACCTTCTAAAAACACTAATTCTTTTAAACTTGTCTGAGTCTTTGTCCCAGAAACTTGCAATTTCCCGTTGGGTGTCAATTTTCATTTGCGCCATTGCATATCAAGGTCAAAGTACCGTACCACAATATTCCTGTATCTTTTGAAAGCATTGTTGTCATTTGTCTGACAATGTAGTCATATGATTGCTCTTAACTGTGAGCAACCCTATCCTTTTTGTGATACTAATCCCTTTTATTACATGACAATCTACATTTTTTCCCCCATGAGAAAACTATTACTAAAAGAAGCCAAGTCATTAGCATACTTGATCTGCAAGCCCTGTCACAGATCCAAAAATGATTTTGCAGCTTAACGTAAATCATTCTTTCCAAGAATTTGTGATCAAAGTATGAGTTTTTGTACTAAAAACACTACAATTACCTTAAAAACGGAGAGAAAACTGATATATTTATCAATTTTACGTTTATCAAGCCTTTCATCTTGAAACTAAGCCCAATTTGTTTGCTTCAGGCTGCTGCACAAAAGGTAACCTATAGGCGGTCACACTTTTGATGTGCTCGTAGCTCGCGTGGAATTAGAAATAACGCAATATTATGGAGAGCTGATTTCTTGGAAGTGAGACCACAAGTATTAACAAATGATTTATCCACCAGCCAGATTGAAAAGTGTAATCTTGATTTAGCCTTCAAAATAAACTCCATAATTCGAAGAATACAAAGCACCTTTCAGTAAGTAAACAAACTGTCGGGTCGCTGAGTTGATGGCGTGGTCACCCACGTAATGCAAAGCACATGAAATTCACATTTCGAAAGCAATATACGCGTTCGATTTAAAAGCTCGCTAGTTTCACTTTAGAGAACGTACCGCTTGTCTGTTGGGATGAAAAGCTACACTTGACGCAATGTCTAAAGACATTTTCGCAAAACCTGCAAGAAGAAGGACAAGAACACATTTCAAGCGCCATTGATTTTCGATTAATGTCGTCTAGCGCAGAGTGGGTTCAGATATGAGCAAACTAGCGACAAATTTTAAGTTGCAAATTAAAATGTGCGAGGCAGAAGTTGAAATCAGTTAACGTCAGCACTTAAAACCTCTTCAAGAAGACAGGTGGTAACCAAATTGAAGGTTTTTGAACTTCTTCGAATTTTGGCTGAAACTTAATATTTTCCTCTTGGTGCTGAAAAAATCTAGGCAAGGGATACGTAGTTACAGTGATCGAGAAAAAAAAATAGTGACTTGTAAAGTAAACGTAACATTTCGTTTTTCGGTTTAAGAGAGGAACAAATTACCTTTCTTTGCCGTAAAAATGGTTACTGAATGCTTCACTCCTCTGTTCTGGTGTGTTCTTAAGCGCCCAGCGAGTTTTCATTCTGGGAATAACAGGCTTACAAATATATTAAAAACAACTCCAAAAAGTCTGACCCCAATTGTTTTTTTCGGTGAAAACCCCCGATTTCTAAGAACCCGCGCTTGATTCAGCGTTTCTGATTGGTTGAAAATCGACCCGAACTACGTCACCGTTTCCCGGATGATAAAGTTGAAGCCCGCCCTCGCTACAAGCCAATCAGGCTTCACATATATCATTTCCGGGAATCCCCTACAGAGGGACTTTCCCGCGATCTTTCCCTCCCTAGTTAGTTTCACTTTTGGTACCGTCATTTGTTATTTTCGGAATCTATTACAAACAAGTAAATTCTCAGAAAATTCGGAAGACATTTTTATGGATCAAAAATAAACTAAATCTTCTGTAAGACAAGAATCAAGAAGGAGGGGAAGGATGACATCGACGAAAAATCCCGTATATTCTTTTAGAAAACATGGTAAAATCCGAAAGTTTAAAATAATCACCATGGTAGCATTTTAATCGTCGCAGATCGGTTGCAGATGTTACAGGAGAGCTTCATGAATAAAATTAAGAATACGAAAACTTTTTACAAATCATGTTGTCTACTCCGCACGATCGCTTTCCACGATGAAAACTAAAACAAAACATAGTGTCCGCGTATTTCGAGGCGCCAACCGTTACATACTCTTTCACAAATCGAGGTTAATTGAATAGATCAGTTTCGATTTCTTGCGAATTCTGCAGCGTTTTCAAGAAAATAATAAACAGTCACATGCCCTTTCCTTTTAAGAATATTTGTAAAAAATACCCCAGTTACACACTAATATGGGTCCTCCATTGTCAGGTGGGATTTCAGTAATTTTCTTCCTCCGAATCCTTACTATTCCGAAGCTCGACAGTCTTAATTCACCTTCTGAATCACTGTGAATTTCTTTAAAAGAAAGATTGAGGTATTCATCAAGTAATGATGTGTGAGGAGAAATCTGATGTTTTCCCCGCATAACCAGTGAAAACACACATTCCATCTGTTTGAATAAAATAGATAATAGAAATTCCTCGGATAAAATGTTCATATAGTGGTACAAATGTACATGTGATGGCTAGAGGCGGTAATTATGCTGAAAAAAGTGGCTGCTGTCTTCGGCAGATTATTCATACCCCTAACTCAATAAATTATAAATTAGAAATGAAAGCTGTTCAAATTGTGTTGTCGTATCTAACCAGTCCACCTCTGGAAATATTTTTCCTCTTCACGAAAGATATTCTGTGGATCAATCACTCGCTTTTTGTAGAAACCAGTAGAGTTGATGGAGCTAGCCTGTCAGAGCCAAGTTTCTTCTTGTTTACCACCAAAACTACCGGGTTGTCCACACGAATTGAAGTAAACTTGAATATCTAAATGAAAGCGATGCGATTCGATAAGTCAATCAGCAAATTAAATCAAAGAAATCATCTCAGTTTAAATATAAGAAGTTATGAAGGTCATTTTGAGAAATAACTGAAAGGTAATGGCTTCATCAAAGAAAAAGTTACTTATCTAAGTCATTCTTTTGCAATGAGAGACTGAGATAGTCACATATTTTATTATTATTTATATTCTCATGAGAGAAGGGGGTAGGAAAATTTGGGAGTGCCCCTGGGCAAGCTATCAAGAACAAGTTGGGATCCAAATTCTTTGAAATTCTGAATTATCCAGATTTACACTTGAGTTAGGGATGCCCGTACTACATTACAGATTGTTTTCTGCAGTGTTTGTTTTACTTGGCAGTGACAGATGTGCCCATCAAAATGTTGCTGCAAGCACCTACATATTTTCTACCAAAAAAGTTACAAAACATCAAGTTACACTTACTGTGCTAGTTTCAGAGAAATCAGTTTCCTGACAGAAAGGTTCAGGGATAGCAACAGAGTCACCAACTGCAAACCCAGCTCCTGCTGCCATGTTGTAAACAGTAACTGGTAAACAACAATCTTCACAGTCCACCATGGCAAAGATACTACAACAAACAGAGTCTGATCATTACCTAATGTCACTAATAGAAGCAATTTAATATGTAACCACTGCTCAAGTAACATTCCTTAAATGTGCTCCAGGGCTATGAATGGTAAACCAATCAAACTAACCTATGGAAAACAATTCTAACAAGTAATTTTGGCATAATTTCTCTGACCATACACTGTATTAAGCCATCAGTTGTCAAAGTCCAGAATTTGTTTCCCCTTAATTTCAGTAATTTTGACCTCTATTAAGTGGTCACCTCTATGAAGTGATTGCAGTCACCCTTTATTAAGTCTCAATGGAGTGTTTGTACTGTTTTCTACCTGTATTGAAGCATCACTGAGACAATAGTCTTTCATCCAATAATTTTCTAATCCATGTTTTTCTCCCAAAATCAAAGTAAATAGTATTTTGGATCCTATATTAAGCTGTCAACTTGTACTGAGCAGTCACCCTGCTATCCCTATGGTTGACCACATAGCGATACAGGTTTGACTATGTGATACAAAAAAAGAAATGTTGTGAGAAGTTTCTTGAATATTGCAACTACTCCAGAAATGACTGTCTGAAAGTTATGAAAGTATACAGGTGCTAAACTTAAAGTAGTGGAAGTCATTGTAGAAGGAATGTCTGTTTTATATTCAATTTCATATTAGGTAAACAAAGCATTTACATATAATCAGAAACATTTCTGAAATAATAAAAAACTTGTGCTAAGATTAGTTATAATAAAGTGTAAACATTTCATTCAATGATTTACTACCTTGAAATGATTAACATGCAACTTCTCCCTACAACATTAACTTACAATAATCATAATTTATTACATGACTCGGGCAGTCTGAGGGCCAATAACTAAAATCAACCAATCAAAATGCTCTATTGCCGGTCAATATTCTCTCAGTATTGGACCGGGCACTGTCCCGAATGGTCCCGAATGATATCGCACTTGTGTCCCTTTGAACTTCAGTCATATAATAAATCTCTTATCAACCAAGCTTGCTCGGGACCGTACTGGAAGAATATCGGCCCTCGGTCTTTTTTGTATGGACCTCACTGCGCTCGGTCCATACTGTCAAGACCTCAGGCTGATATTCTCCCAGTACGGCCCTCGCATTTGGTTAATAAGATATATATATATATCCATTACACAGGCGATGAGAAAATGGAAAACACATCAGTAAGAGATGTTGTCTTGATACAGGACCAATCTTTTTTATCAACTAATTTACCAGAGAAAATAAGTGTAAGACAATTAAGCCAAAAATTACAAATCACATCTTAAAAGTTAAATAAAACTTTTGATTTTTTTTTTTTTTTGCCACCTAAAACACTTACTATGGTACTGGATCATCCATTGGAACAGAGCCGACAACTTTTCCCACAATCACTGTATTATAATTTGAGCCAGAAACCAGTTTGGAGACTGGAATATGATTAAGCTGGACTGTTTGGCCTGATGGACTGGTGTAACTGCCACCTCCATATGGGCCCAAATCTGATGGACCCAAGGACTGAACCATGGAATGGAGCCTCTTGCCTTTCAATTTACCCTGAAATAATTAAAGAGAAGATGTAGGGATTGTTGTTAACTCTCAACCCCCTGAAGTGATAAACATGTAAATTCACTCTATAATAGCCAATCATTATCAAGCAAACAGGTAATGACAATACTTGTCTAACACCAAAATCTCATCAAAAATTTTCAAGGATATGTGTGCTAGTTTGAGGGAAGAATAAACAATTAGCTATCTTGGGAGTTAGAGGGTTAAATATGAGATCATGACAAATTAGGATGCAGAAGAAAAAGCATGGCAAGGTAATGAGAACACTTCTATATTCAGGCAGAATTATTAAACTGAGTCACAAAAAGAATCATTTAACATTTTAGTACTTACCTTTCCCTCTACAAGGTCGATTGTTTTTGTTAAGATGTTCATCAGCTTAAGTTTCTCATCACAAGGTTCGATCCAACCTGGGTCTAAAATGCCAGCCCTCTTGAAGCCATCTATGGCTAATTTATATTCCTCCTGGTACTTGTATGCCTACAAGGAAAGCTGAATGATAACAAAACTGTTCCATATCATTGGTTATAAATGGGTAAAACACTTAGTATACTTCAAGGAAAAATTGTCTAAGGCTAAGAGGTCACTGCTGTTACCACAGCAGTTCTGAGCTACAAGTTTAGATTCCTTTGTATTGCTGAAATGGAAGAAATGAAATCCCTAGAATTTACCATTTTGTAACCTCTGGAGTTAAAGAACATCTTAACCAAAAAGGCTGTAAGCAACGAAGGTGTAGGAAAAAAGGATCAAATATCACTTATTATTATCCAACAGTAGTGTACTTCGAAGAGTACAGATAATGCACGAGATGAGTACAAATATCACTCAATATTTTTACTCCAGAAATATCCGTAAAATTTGCCTGCACTGAAATAACAATTTGGCGAGTTGGATAATAGATCTCTTATTAGACGTTTTGTTGTGTAGTATCCCTGAATATTATTAAGAGTTGTGCTGTATTTTAATGAGCCCGTAGGGTAAGTCAAAATACAAACAACGAGTAAAAATGCTCAGTGATACTACACAACAAAACCTCGAAATAAGATACATATATTTGCAAGAATGTAAGTATAATAGTCATCCCATAAGAATAAAGGAAATTATCACAATTTAAGATGCCCCTGTTGTTAAACAAATTCTGCTCATCTGCACCATAGTAATGCAAAGAGAACAGTATGGAGAATATGAATGCTATCACTGGGGGGAAAAGTGTGAAGTTAGCAATCTTTGAAAAATCTACTTGACTGTATACTTATTACTCAGATACCAATGTTTGTCTCACCATTGCTCTATTAAAGTGTAGATCTGGGTTGTTCTGAGCCACAGGATCTTTATACTGTCAATAAAATTACATGATTACAGTCAAAATGAAAGAGAATGCAAAAACAAGAAAAAAAAAAGAGAATAATAAAGTTTCAATTAGTCAGTGAGAGTAAATTAATCAGAACATGCTAAAAGACAATGGTGGGGTCTGGGTCCCATGTAAAAAAGGGTATGGATGGTGACTACGTCCATAGGCTAGAAAGTTTTCACAGTGCCAGTTTAACAACCCAAACACAGAAAGAAATGTCTAAAATGTGGTCTGTTTTTCTTAGTTCATTTTGATTCAGCAAAAGACATATTTGACCTAATTCTCCTGTGAGAGATGAGTGCTCACAAGTCAGGGTTTCATTTGATGACCAACTTATAGTAACCAATACTGTGAACTGTTCTATTTAAAGCTTCTGACTAACATGGTTTACCTACCGCTTGTGAATATGCAGTCATACACTGCTTGATCAGCTGAGGAGATTGTGATCCACAAAAGAAGAGGGAGAGATAGGCATTGCCAAGTACGTCTATATAATAAAATGAACATTGGCATGTCAGTTAAAATACCATGACAGAGGTCTGCCAAAAAAATAAAGGGAAAAAAAAACAGCTAAGAGCCTATTGACAATTATCTACTCTAATTTCAATTAGTAATATTTTGTCATGTTTCGCTGGCAATTTGGTAGCATCCAATTACTCTCCTGCATTGAAAAAGGTTTTTCTTCAAAATGTCTCTCTCACAAAACAACAAAGAAATTCCCACACAATGCAGCAAGGCCATAATGTTACTTTATTGTTTTGAGAACTGCTGATAAAAAAAAAAAAACAAAAAAAACTTGAGCAAATTATGTGATCCACCAGGCTGATTATTATCAAAGATAATGACTAATGGTAATAATAACTGTAAACAAGCTAATATTTGTCATTTATTTAATACATATGATAATTATTTAATATTCAGTCAACTCACACCATGAAATTCCATCTTTAACATCACACTGCACTGCTTCTTTTGCTTTTTCTACACTCATTTTGATATTTTCTACTTTTTCACCTTGATCTGAAAAATATTGAAAGTTTTCAGAAAAATCGATTAAATCCAAGAAAGGTTCACAGTTCTCCACATTTAAAGGACTTAGAAACTATTTCAGCTCTGGTTATTATTTAAAACTAAATCAGAAGTGAAAGAGCTATTAATGGCATTAAAAAACAAAATTATCAGATCATGTGTTTATCGCGCTTAGACTTTCACGGAAACCTTACAGGTGCCTAAGGATACAAAATATTTGAAAGATGCAGCCCAACTGAGTCATCAATTTTATAAACTAAAGGTATTTAAATTTACAGTTAGCTGTCCCACTAATAATCTAACTTCAATAAAATAATGTAACTTCCTCATTGACAAATGTATTTAACTCAAGTTGGATTTTCTCATGTTTATCGTGACAACATTTTTTTTTTTTTTTTATTTCACCTTTCCCAATCTGTCGTAACACCATTGACAAGTTCCTCAAAGACTCCTTGCTCTTTCCCTATGGAAGAAAATTGGCATGAGTCTTAAATCCCGGAACACTAGTATAACATTCTGCTACGATGCTATTTAACAGTCTACCTCAAGACATACAAAATTGTACAGAACCCAAAGTATTCAACAGTAAATGCAGAAAACATTTTATGACACTGGCAACAAGTAGTTCCTGATTTTGCCTTTTTTTTTTAATCTCATATGTTTTTTTTTTTCTTTTTTTTTTTAATCTCATATATCTTGAATTAGTACAGAAGAACCACCAGGTGGAGTACTAATAAACCATTATTATCGTAGAGAAATCAACTCAATGCTACATTCTAATCAGGTAGCACAGGGCAAAAACTGTAACCTGTGAGCCATGGAGTAAAAAATAAAATAATGTACATTGACTAATCCTAAAAAGCTTTTCCATTGTGTCTACGGTCCTCCTTCTAA